TTATTCGCTATTCTGGTGATATTTGAGTTACTGTAAAAAATTCTATTCTAGAACCTGTTCTGCACAATGTGCAGTTAAGGTTGAGTTATTTTCTATTAGAATTATCATAATATATATTGAGTTGCTATAAAAATTTTGATATAGTACCTACTCGCTATTTGGTGATATAGTATATTATTAAGCTTGAGTTGGTTCACATTGGAATTGTCATGAAAACTTTGTTACAGAACTTACCAGTAAAGTTGAGTAAGTTTGTTTATAATTTCTACCATGTGTGTCACTATAATTATTATAAACCTTACTTGCTATTCTAGTAATTTAGTACGTGTATGATTAAGGCTATTCTCAAGCACCTCACTCAATAAATCAGATATAAATTTTTAATTAGTCAGAAATTAGATAAATTAATTAAGTGAATTACCAATTTGATCAACAAATCAAATGAGATACAAACCACCTTTTTTCTCCAAAAATTTATCATTGATAAAGATCAAGCAAGCATTACTTTTATATATTTAATATATCAAACATAATAAACAATTAATTTACAACAAAATTCACAACGAATTTCTAACCGGTCTAAAAAAATAGCCACTTTATTTTTAATGCTCGAAACTTTTAAAAAAATAATCAACACCTTGATATAAACGTAATTAATACAACCCATCTTAACCAAACTATAATGAATACTGCTATTCCATTTTTTGCTCATATAAACTAATAAAATTTTTTTTACCTATTGTTGCTGCAAAGAACTTTTGCTAATGATTCCATAAGTTGTTGCTGTTGCAACAAAAGAGTTAATATTGGTAAAATCATTAAAGGGAGAAACTGACATAACTGAAGCTAAATATTCGGCAGTCAGTCGAACAGAATTTTTTTTATTAGATTTTTTAGACGTTTTAGGTGGCATAACGAAGATCATAAAAATAGAAAAAGAGTATGCTCAAGATTTAATTTTATAAATATCACCATTGATTATCACAATCATTCTTTAATCAACTAATTTAGATGCTTGAGAACAGCCTAAGACTGAGTTTGCATTGGGTTATAATAAAAAAATTATGTTTTGGAATTTACTTAATGCTCTGATTACACACTGTGTGATTAAAATTGAATTAGTTTACACGTATCTTGTAATGCAGTAAAAAAAAATTCAGCTACAGAACTTACACATTATTTTGGAAGCATAGTATATAGTTAATCTTGAGCTAGTTTATATTAAAATTTCGTTACAGAAATAACTTGCTATTTATATACAGTATATAGTTGAGGTTTGTTTGCATTAGAAAAATCATAATTTCCATGAGTTACTATAAAAAATTCTGCTACAGGACTTACTTACCATTCCAGTATAAGGTTTGTATTAGAATTACTTATAATTTGTTATAAAAAGATTCAGCTCCAAAATTACACAACATTTTAGTGATATACATCTTGAGGTTAAAGTTGAATTAGTTTGCAATAGAACTACTATAATTTACTGTAAAAAAATTATACAAAACTTGCTCTTGTAATAACAAACAGTATGTAGTAAAGGTTGGATTGGCTAGTATTAGAATTATCAAAAACTAAATAGAATTAAACATTTTTGAATATTAATAAGTAAAAGTAATTTATAAAATCAAAAAAAATAAATAAAAGCATCGAGGTTGCTTTAAAAAAATCCTCATTTAGCGATAGTAGATATATAACTGTTGCTCCTGTGATTTTCTAATTCTGTAATTAAGTTATTGTTTAATGTTATATATAAAATTAAAAATTATATACATACGTATGTACAGGCAACAATTACAGATCTATTGCTAACCAAGAATTTTCTAAGACAATTCTACTTATCATTATTAATATTCAAAATGCTTAGTCAACTCAACCTTTACCACATGCTATTCATTATCGCAATAGTAAGTTTTGTATAATTTTTCTACAATAACTTATAATTTTTCTAATCCAAATATAATCTCTATGTAACGAAAATTTTTACAGTAATACATGCAATAGTTCTAATACAAACTACTATAATTTAACCTTATCGGAATAGATTTGATTAATTGAATGATATGTGGTAAGTATGAGGTATTGTTTGATAAGTATGAGCTTAATTAATTAAGGAGTAACAATGGATAGTTTGTAAGTATGATGTATTGTACAATGAGTATCAAGTGATTGATTGAGTGATAGTAATTATAAAGTCATAGAAAATAGCTATTTAAGTAAGAAGAATTAGGAATTCGTTCTTTCTCTTTTGTCTTTGCTACTAGCTTGACACAAGTTGATTCTCACCCACCCTCTACAGATGTGAATAGTTAGGGTATAAAAGGTGGTTGGGTTTTAGTAGTAGTTAATAGCCCGGGTGAACAGCCTGAATATCAGAGGCTAGTATTTGCTAGCCCAACTATACAGATTGGATATCAAGAGAGGAGAGAAATTAGTGTAGAATTGGTGAACGATGCTAGGAAAGAGCTGTAGACTATGTAGGCAGTAAGGCAAGATCTCATATAGTGTTTTTCATAGTTGAACAGTGATACCAGATAATTGAGTAACAAAATCCACATCTTATTATTAATATGTATCATATTTGATATAATGAGGGTTTTAAAATTAATCTTATTTATTTTTCTAATTTATAATTCAGCATAGTAAAAAAATACTTCTAATTTTGAAACTCCCAATATACCAATAAATATTTGTATAGTTTTAATTTAAGCCTGAATACTTAGAAATCACAAAACTAACACTTGTGAAATATCTTTTATTAGGATTTTGCGAAATTTCTATATTTTGCTAGGTTGATGTCTTACCAGAGTTTTGATGTTTAGTCAAATTTAAGTTTGTCTTTCGCTATTTATAGAAAAAAATTTTCAATCTCTATGAACTTAGTTGATGTAAATTCTGACCTTTATAGATGTAGACCAATAAGGATTAAATATTGAATAATGAGGTTATTTTATAGTAATTATGTTGTAATTAGCGATAAGAATTTCTAATTATTAATTATATAAATTATATTAACAATTTAATTGTTAAAATGATTTATATATAAATTTATATATAAATTATTTTAACAATTTAATTGTTAATATAATTTATATAGTTAACAATTAAAAATTTCCATCACTAGTTGTAATCAGCATTTTGAAATGAAGAGCACATTATAGATGAATAATATAATTTTGATGTAAATTTTTAATTTGAATACTGTAATATTAAATAGTATCACAAAGTACCAATTATTTTAATAAATATTTTTATTCTTTCTTTTTATTTAATACAGTCAGGGAATATGCCGAATATGGATGTTGTAGATCACACCATTTATGGTAGAAGAATATCGATCAGAAGTTTCTAGATTTTATAACACATGAGCATTAACTAATCAAATTAATTAAAAAGCTCAATATATGAAAGAGATATACTATATGAATACAGGAATAAGCGAAGCTTTATTTTTATTAAATCTTCTAAATTTAATTATTATTACTTTCAAAAAAATACATTCTTGTATATTATTACAGTATTATATTTGGTTTATATTATCAAACAGCACCACCCATATATATTATTAAATGATATCACCCAACAACTTAAATCTATTTTTGTACTTTGTCTTGTTTGTTTTCTTATACTATACGAATAGTTTTTAATACCTATGTAGTCCTATATAGTTATAAATAAAATAAAAATTTAATTTATTATAGTATAAATAAAACTTTTAAAACGTTTTTAAATATATACAAATTTTAAAAATATCTTATGTTAACCGTTAGCTAATGACAAGTTTAAACTTTTTATACAAAACGAATACCTTTTTTTAGCTTCTCATTTACTTTGGCAAAAAAGGTTGATTGCCGCTGATTAATTTTGATTATTAAAACTAGACACTTTAAACTATATGTTCGAAGCTTACATGGTCTTAATAATTATCAAAAAAAAATTTTTCACAATGTATGACGTTTGAGTGGTAAAAAGCACGTGAAAGCCAATCAAATTCAAGAATCTATCTGTAGATTATTCTAGAACATGATTCCTAATCAGGTATATTCCCAGACTGTAATACAAAATTTATCTACTAATTTAGAAACTGCCTGCAAATAAACTCGCAACTCATTATTATACAAGAACTATTATAGATCAAATAAAGGTGAATTGGGCTTTAACTAGCATCATTTAATTCCAATATGAACCTTATTTGAAATAGATATTAGAAGATCTTTAGGATACAGATCAGGTTTATACTGTATAGATATTCTATATATATTAAAATACTATTAGCTCTATAGGGTCCGATTTGCCTTCATTCGACCTATATATACTACCCTATAATTAACCAAAATATATGATAATCTAATAAGAGAATTAGCCCAATTCGAGTCTACTACTAAGTTTTTAGTCTGCATTTTAATAAAAAAAAGAGAAGAGATTGTTAATCCTTATTTGAAAAAAATTAAACACAGTATAAAATCTTGTACTTTTATTTATAATCTAAATCTCTATTTATTAGCTTCCAGTTCACATTCTAGTAAGAAAAGAAAAAAAAATTTAAAACACTTTCATTTATTTTAGTTCTAATTTTTTATACAATCCAATCTTTATTTGTCAGTTTCCAGTTTGTGTTTCAGTAAAGAAAAGACTAATGAAAGAAAATATTGGTCTAAAGAAAAAAAAAATCAAATACAATACAGAATCTTGTACTTTCATTTATTTTAGCTCTAATTTTTTATACAAACTAATCTCTATTTGTCAGTTCCCAATTTGTGTTCCAGTAAAAAGAAGATTGACAAAAAAAATATATTAGCTCTGTTTAAAAAAAAAAAAAATTGAACACATAAATAAATGAAATTGGTACTTTTTGCTTGACTTAATTTCCTCTATTTGCCAAGTTTTTTGTTTATATTCCAGATAGAGAAATATAATAAAAAAAAGCTTGTTAGACTTATTTGAAGTAAAAAACAAGCAAAATAAAAAAAAAACTAGTACCAAATTTCTGATTTCTTACCAATCTAAACTATAATCTCAAGTGCTATTTTTTGAAAAAAAAGCAAGTTAATAAATACTTCTTTTATCTAAATTTCTATTGCAATGTCGCCGCTATATTCAACCAAGCTAATCTAAAGTAAGTATATTAGAGAAGTTAACTTTAAACAGAAGATCTTTAAATTTTAAAGTTTAAAGATTTAGTATTCGCAAATCATTATAATACCCCTTATAAGAGGATGGTCATAATTTGACTATCAATTAATATTTACAATTTGACTGCCAATTGTTATTCACATCCATAATTTGACTGCTAATTACTCTATGAATTATATATATATTGATATTCGTTCAAATTTTTTTTTAGTAAATAAATTCAACTACGTATTGGTATTTGATTTTTTTTTTTTTTTAGATCGAATTTTTTAATATATCCAAAGTTAGGTCAATTTTTTTTTATATAGCCAATTTTGGATTTTTTTTAGATTGATATTTATTTAACATTCAGCTAGTCGATTTTCATATGTTTGACCAGTGATATTTAATATTTATTTATCTAAATTAAATTATAAATAACTATTTTGTCCAACATGCAACTGAAAAAAAAGTATTAGCTCCATGATTGTTATAATTAGAACTTGAATCTATAAACATTTAAATCAGTATTAATACTGTATATCAAAATATTAGCATATTTTTGATATCTATAGATTCAAGTACTAATCATAAAACTAACTTTTTTTTTTTAGCCCACACAGATCGAAAGATAAAAAATCAGGCACAAATCAGGTACCTGATTTGTGCCTGATTTTTTATCTTTCGACCTGTGTTATTATCATCATCATCATTATTACTATTTTTATTACTATTACTCTCACTATTGTTCTTTTTTTTCTTTATCTTTTTTTCATATTCATCTAAACTACAAAGTCCTATTTTGAAAAATTGTTTTAATTCTTCTTCTTTTTTTTCTTTATATCTTTTTTTTTTACCTTCTCTATTTTTTTTTTTTTTTTATCTGTATCTATAGAAGCTCTATGTCTTTTTTGTCTTAGTCTAGCATCTTCTTTTGAACTTGTTTGTGATCTTGTTCTTGATGATATTGGAGAAATTTTAGATCTTGTTCTAGTTGAAGGTTCTTGTTCTTCAGCTTGTTCTTCAGCTTGTTTTTTTAGTTTATCATAATATCTTTTTTTAGTAGCTCTTTTATTTCATTGTCTTTTTTTTTTATCCTCTTCACTTTCAATAACTGTAGGAGGTGGTGTTTTATATATTTTTTTAATATGTTCAGGGGTAGGTTGTCTTTCTTCTGATATTTCTCTCATAAAAAATAATATTATTAATTATTTGTTTAATTTATAAATTAATATATAATATATATTAAATAAAGGAAATCATTATTTATACTATTATTTTTGTTATTGTACTCTAAGTTTAATTATTGCATTGTATGATGTTGGAGCTCCAAAATTTAAATACTGCTTTCGATTGGTAAGCATTATTACTAATCAAAAAAGTGAATTTTGAAGCCTTGACATCATATGATGTGATGATTAAGTTTAGGGTATGAATAACAAAAATAATGGTATATGTATCAATTTTCTAAATAAATAGTTGTATATCAGAATCCCGATACACAAAATCCAGCAACAAAATCCCAATTAAAATTCTAATTTTAATATCTTTAGAATTTTAATTTGTCGAGGTTGGGATTCATGTATCGGGATTCTGATATACAACCTAAATAAATATTGTAATTTATAATAATTTTTACTTTTAATTATAAAATTTTATCTTTTTTTAAATTTTAAATTTAATAAAATAATTTCAAATATTTAATACTTTAGTTAAATTTTATTAAACTTACTTTATTTTTATATATAATTTATTTAATAATCTATAAAATTAATAATTTATTAGTTTAAAAAATAAAAAATAAAAAATTTTGTTAAAAAATTGTAAAATTTTTTTTTTTAAAAAAAAGTTATACGGCAAAAAACTTTTTCAACGTATTTGATTAAAAAAACTTCATTATTATTAAAATAGAATAGTGCATGCATATTTATTTATTTAATTTAATATTAATCTATAAATAGTAAAATTATTTATAAATCGTTCAACAATCTTATATATACATATATGCATATATGCATTTAATTTATTATTATATAGTAAATCGTATTACAGTACAGTCTTTTTTTACTATACTGACTTAATTTGAAAACTTCAAACAGGAGAAACCATTGATACGTCACAAAAACGTTACACAATTGATGAAATTTTTTTAATATTATTTTGCAATATTTTTTTGGAAGGCTCGCTTGACTTATCTTTTCTATGAATATTGAAAATGGTTAAACAAACCTGAAGCTCTTACTTTCCTTTACAACATATTTTTGAATCCCTTGAATCCTACAGTTTTGTCTTTTTGTAAATTTCGCAATTTGTTCTATTTTTGCTATTTAATTTTCCCTCATAAATTATTCCGGTATTACACAATAAAGACTTTATTTTATGGAATTGTCTGATAAAAAAAAAAAATTTGATTGCCGGCCTAATTTTTTGATTACATGTTATGTAAAGTGAAAAATTAACTGTGACTTTATTGCAGTTTGCAAAAAAATGTGAAATTTGCAGATCAAAAAAAAAAAAGAAATCGATGATTTCTGATTACCAATTTCTTTAACATTACTTCTGATAGTGTATGTATATCAACTAATATTATACTATATAAAGTCTTATATATATTTATTTAGCATATATTTTTTTAAAAAAAAATCATTCTAATGACTAAAATTATTATCCCGGAACATGCTTTGGATGCACAAATGTCTTTTTTATCAACTTAGCAATATCATATAATAATCCTTATAAAATTGAATTTAATGCAGCTTTTCTTGCTTATTATGCAATAGTAAATTTTACCGGGCTAGAAAAGAAACAAATTTAATATTACACAATCAAGTTCTTTACAACATGAAGAGTATGCAAAATATATTTCTACAAAAGATGTTAAATCAAAATATGTTGCAAAATTATAAATCTACAACTTTTATTTCTCAAAAAAAATGTTAAAGAAATCGGCAATCAGAATCAGAAATCATCGATTTCTTTTTTTTTTTGAACTGCAAATTTCACATTTTTTTGCAAACTACAATAAATGTGAATATAAATATATTATTTACTGTAAAATTAAAAAAAAAATCAAAAAAAATCTGACCGACCATTTATTCTGAAATCCATGTAATACAAAATAAAAAATTAACTTTGCATGGCCTTATACCTGTAATGGATTTTGAGAAATAGGTATGCTTTTTAATTTCAAATTATTTTAGCTGCTTTAGTTCGAATATATAAATATAAAAATTATATTTTGGTGCACCCTGCACCATTGTGCACTCCTAATCATGAGATATATATACATACAATCAGTGATCATCAATAATCAGTTTTTTTTTTTGTAATGCTTTTTTTTTTCTGCTTTTTTTTTTGTACTGCTTTTTTTTTTAATTTAACTAACGTTGGTTTTCTTCATTTAAAGCTTTTAACATGTTATTCGGATTTGGTGAGCATGTTTGTTTTGTGCTGTTGTCTTCGGTGTCATCGCTTTAGATGCCGCCGCGTTCAGTGTCGTTGATTTCGGCGTCGTCAATTTCAGCATTGTCAATTTCGGTGGGTAGGTCCTGATTACGTTTTGTGCTGTGAGTCGTTATTTGTGTAAATTTTGTTTTCGTCATTTTGCATTTGGGCGTTGTTAATTCGTTCGGTGCCTTGTTGAATTTAGTGTTTGGATCTGGATTACAAAATTCAGATAAATCTAAATGAAGAAAGGATAACAGATACTTTTTTTGTAAAGAGAATATTAAATCCGGATTTTAATTTTAAACCGTTGCAAATCCGATTTTTATCCAAATATAGTAATAATAACAATACAGCAATAATTCATAAATTAGATTAACTATTAATATCAAATATCATATGTACGTACATTCACACACATTTACTGCAACACCCAAGCCTCAATAATAATTTTTCCATCTTTAGTAATATAATATTTTGGGCTAAAGCAAGCCTTTCTTAAAATGTTTAGACTCAAATTATGCTTATTGATAAATTGATGAAAGAAGTAATTTAATCAAAGACCAATTTTATTTTGTAACATATTTAGCCTGTGATTATATATTGTATATTTTCACATGCTTCATATTTTAACAGTTCTCGAAACCAATGAGAATATAGCCTGGAGAAAAAATAAAGTTACAAATAACACAAATAAAAGCCTAAATTCGTGAGGTTTTTTTTTTCAAGCTCAATCGCTATATGAAAATGATAAATTCTAAAATTCTAAATGTTCAATCTCAAAACTATGAAATTCCAAAGTGGTATATTAATTAAATAAATACTAAGCACAATAAAAAAACTTATTTAAGTAATATATAGTCTAAATGCTTTTTCGCCCTTCATACAGGCTTAATTCTTGATTAATGCCCGAGGTATAACTATATTAATTTATTAATTAATATATTTCAAGATGCAATACCTGTTTCAATTACTTCAGGTATTTAATTCTTTTACGCAACAATGTAATCATAATCAAAGCTTCTATAATTCAGAATTTAAAAATATAATATGAAATGTTAAATACCAAGAAGGCAAGCTAATTAAATATGTATTAAAAAAAAAGGCGCAATGAAATATTTATCCCAAAAACTATAGAATAATAGAATATTAACTCTATGTATGAATATTGACAATTCAATACCAAGAATATTCAAAGGCACATGAATATGTATAAAAAAAAGAAAAGTTTAAATTAAAAATAAACAGTTTAATAAAGAATTCTAAATAGCATATGATATCTTATAAAAAAATTTCATAAAATATATTAGTTTTTTTTTTTGGTAAATTTTATAAAAGACCTTCTGAGTAAATCAAAAAATTTTCTCAAAGAATTTTCTTAATTAAAAATTGTACACGAAAAAAAAAAATGTTAAACATTAAAAAACGAAAAAAATAATTCTAATTCGATGGCAGATTCTGATGCTAATGCTGATTCAGAAGGCATTATTAATGTTAATACTTCTAGTGATGAAACGTTAAGCGACAATAACATTAGTATAAACTCTAATAGTGACACAGAATATGATAATAAATTGAGCACTAAACCAAAATCCAGAAAAAATGAAAGTTGGGTTTGGCACTACTTTTGTAGAAAGCCTCCATCACGAAAGTGGAAAACCCGTGGAAATTGTAAAGTTATTATAAAAGACAAAAAATCTCCAACTGGTGAGTGGGAATGTGGGCAATTAGTTAAGACTCAAGGCTCTACTGGTAACTTCCAATCGTATCTAAACACATATAGAATTACTAAACCTATTAAAAAAAACAACATAGCTGTACAACCAACAATTGGTGAAATGGTTCAGCGTGCTGCTAAGCAAAATCCTCGTCAAAATGAATCTATTGAACATGCTTTGGTCACCTGGATTATTACAAATTCACAACCTCTTCATGTCCTGCAAAGTAAAAGTTTTATTAAACTTATTAATACATTAAATCCATATTATGAACTTCCTTCCAATAAACAAATCAAAGCAAGAATTCACCAAAGCTACAATTATTCAGTAGAATGTCTTAAAGCTCTCTTTAAAACAGAACTTAAAACATGTAGTTTAACTTGTGACTTGTGGACTGCTTGTTCAAAAAGTGGGTATATAGGAATTACATGTCACTTTGTTGATTCTAATTATAAATTGAATGAAATTATACTTGCAATTAAGAATGTTCCATATCCTCATAATGCTTTAACAATTAAAAACGAATTAGAAGATGTAATTAATAGCTGGGAGCTTTTTGGTAAGGTGGCTTCAATTACAACAGACAATGCTGCCAACATGGTTAAAGCAATTGGCCTTATGAATTCAGTAGACCGAATTCCCTGTACTGCCCATATGCTTCAGCTTGTTATTGGTAAAGGATTAAAACCTGCAACAATTTTAGTAAAATGTGCAAAACGATTAATTAATTTTTTAACTACTCCAAAGCAAAATAAGCAATTAAAAAAAGCCCAAGAAGTGTTAAAAATTTCAAAAGAAAAGATTAGTAATAATGAAAAATTATATCTTAGTGCAATTTCTGATACCCCAACCTGCTGGAATTCCTTCTATATCGTATGAAAAAGGCTTCTTCAAATTAAGCGTGCTATTAAGTTAATGGAAGCAACTATGAGTGCTGACTCTGATTCTAAAGTTCACAAAGATGCAAATTGACTAAGGTCTATCATGATTACTGAAGATGAATGTATTGTTCTTGAAGAATTAACTGCTCTCTTGGCTCCTTTTGCTAAAATCACCGAATTATTAGGAGGTAGTAGTTATGCTACAATTAGCTTCATGTAGCCAGCTATTATTACACTTACTAGAAGTTGTACTCTATTGGTAGAAAGTATGAATTCTGAAAAAATTGATTTCACGAATACATCAACTATATTTGATGATGATGATGATGAGAATATAGTTGATTTGGATGATGAATCTGAAATAATTATCACTGCTGACGAAAGTAATTTTAAACTTAGCCAACCCCAGAATACAGATGGCTTAATAGAAAATATTAAAGAGAAATTACATATAGCATTAAATTATTATTGGGATGTACCGATTGATAGTTTATTAGTTGCAACATTACTTGATCCTTGGTGTAAGACAATGAAGCAATTAAGTAGTTGGGAACGTAATAAAGCTATTAGTCTTCTTCAAGAGAAGTACAATTTATTTAGTACTGAAAATGAATCGGTTATAAACTTACCAAATGAAAAGCAAGAAGAGGATCAGATGAAGCTTTTTTCAATAATGTTTGGGTCAAATGCAAGATCAACTTCAGTTAAAAATGAAGTAGAATGATATATTAAAATTGATCAAGTATTAACTAAAACTAATCCCCTTAACTGGTGGAAGGATATTCAGGATGAACTTCCAATTCTTGCTGGCTTAGCACGTAAATATTTGTCTATTCCTGCCACTTCAACACCTAGTGAATAGTTATTTTCTAGTGCAGGCAATTTAATGACAGCTAAACGTACATTATTCAAAGCTAACTTGTTTGAGAAGATTTTTTTTCTTCAATGAAATATTGGAAGTTTGGAAACAATTTTTGAGATATAAAGGGTTAAATATTTTATTTTTTGATTTTCTTTTTATATATAAATTAAAAATTATTATGTATAAATATATGTTGTAAGAGAAAACAGAAAAATGAATACAATAAAATAACACCAGGTCTTTTATATTTGCTAGACAGAATATAGATGTTAAATAAATGTATTAATGCAAAGTAACTACATATAAAAATGAACAAAAATGGGTTATCTATCCCATGTTTGAGTTACATCATAAAGTGTTATGAAATACAGTACGTAATATATATATATATGTACCTAATACGTATATTGACATATATATAGTACATATACATTTCGATCTATAATAATTTTATAAAATGAATACGTACAACTATTAACTCTCAGGAATGCTTTTTCCAAGATACTAAGTCATTATCATATACTGTAGTATAGAGAAAGTTGATATAATTCAGAAAAAAATTCGAATGAGCCAGAATATGCGATAAAAATATTATTCAGTCTTTCGCATGTATATATACTTCGTTAGCTTCTAATTAAAGGCAAATAGATTTAATATTTAAATAGAAAACAGATATAAACCAGATTTTAAAACCGGATATTTTAATAATATCTGTTTACAAATCCGAATTAAAAAATATAAAACAGGATATTCATCTGGGTATCCTGTTATATATCCAGATCCAAACTCTAGTTGAATTAGCGTCACCTTTGTTGTAGCTGCCAGAACGTATAGTTTACTATATTTATTAGTTGGTTCAGTTTTCAGGTTTGTGAACTGTTATTAAAGCATCTTTTTTTTTTTTATAGACTTGTTAAGGATGTCTTGGAGTTTTCCTTTTTCTTTTGAATGCTAGAATGTACGTTACTAACTTTTTTCATAGGATTTGTGGTTTTATTGGTAATATTTGGTTTCAGCTTGTGAACGTATTGCTGATGCTTCCTTTCGGTTTATAGGTGCTGTTAAGAGCATCTTTGGGCTTTCCTTTCGACGTTGGTGTCGCTTTTCGTTTTGTGGTTGCGATTTTCCTACAATTTGTTACTTTTAATATCCGGGAAGTAGGGTTTTTTGGTTCATTGTTTTCTATTCGCTTGTTGTTTTTTTGCATTTAACTAACATTCATTTTTCTCCTTCAAGCATTGATATAAGGCATTCTGTAAACCTTTCGCTCCAGTTATTGGTTGTATCCCGAGAAGCATGATAAAGTATATTATTCGTGCTATGTAAAGTTCTATTTTTTGGTCTTTTGTCATATTATGGACATTGTGCTATGTAAAGTCCTATTTTTTGGTCTTTCATTGCATCATGAATGTGGTCTTAGTTCTTTCGTTGCTGTCTAATATTGTTGTTTCGATATCATTGATGCGATTTCGCTCTTGTTTTGTCGCGTTTGTAGTTTCGTTTTATAGCTAGTTAGTATAGCTTAGGGTTAGAGTTAGATTTGTTTGTTAGAGGTTAGGGTTAGAGGGTTTTATAGTTAATTGTTTCGCGGCATAAATTAATAAATTTTAAATTGTGTAACTATTACCGCATTATTACAGTATCTATAAAAATCCGTGCTATAAATTATTATATTAAAATTACAACATACTATAAATTCGCACTACGAATTATTGCAGTACTGCAATATACAGTACTATGAAAATTCACAGAAATCGATCACGTGATTAGGGCATCAAACTCCATTTCGGCAGAGTTTGAATTTTGCCAATTTTGCAGAAATGCGAAATAGAAAAGTCATGTAATGCCACCACTAAGGCGGACTTTAAAAATCTTTGATTTACGGATATATATAATAAAATAGGTTTGAGAACTATCTAGTGAGTTTGAAAACTGGCCTGTTGCGAGATAGTTAATAAAGAGGTAAAATCTTATATAGCAGGTCACACATAGATACTAAGTTAGTAACTGGGTGAGTCTTATCTGTAATAAATTAGATAGTTGTAAATGTATATACGTATATTTGTAACCACAATATCTTAGAGTACTAATAAATAGTTAAGGCAAGACTGCCGAATTAAAAAAAAAATTATAATATTGTTTTTTATTTTTATAAAAAAAATATTATTATAACATTATAAGGCTATATAAATTTATACAATTGGTTTTTATATTCTGCCCACATCAACAAAGTGAGGATTGAAAATTTTTTTTTGGTTTATAAAGTCAACCAATAAAAATTATCCATTTGATAATCATGTAATAAAGCCATAATGAACGTCCAGGTTGTATTTTTTTTTATTTTATTTTATTTTTTTTTAATATTAAGGTGACCACTTAGGCCCCTGGCACTTTATTAGTTCAAACGGGTGGGCTATACGAAGACTGGCTTACATATTACATCAGTATAACGAGAGTACAACTAGTCATATGTACAACTTTTGGTTGCCTATTTAAGTAGTCTGCCTGAAGCATTAGTGCTATGCTAAGAGTTCTACACTAGCTGTCATACATATAGCCTAACTAGGAAGCTATCTATTTAAACTCTCTG